AGGACACAGGTCACAAATAGGTTAAAGTTGTAATCACTAATATAATTTTCACATAAAATCTGCCTGCTGCTGTCCTCGTACTATATGGTGCTCATAGTTCTTCTCTCTGTAGTATACACATCTTCAGAAAACATGCCATATCACTAAGGACAATTTTTTTCCCCTCTGTGTTACTTTGGTTATATGTATCAATTGAAGAAAAAGCTGTAATTTCCCCCTGTGAATCCTGATCCTTAGTTATGCTAGAGACCAAAAGTCTTGGTCGGAGACTATTCTGAGTCACAGTCTCAGCTCTCTGTGCCTTTTCTTATTCATCACTGGGACCCTCTGGCTTTGCAGAGTATGGCATATTTTTCCAGAATATGGCATATTCTGAAATGTCATTGGATCACAAAATCTCATTTACTCTTTTGAAAACAGGACCAGCTTGCAATGTAGATACGCTGGCTAAAAGAAACTAATTTTGCCTAACAGCTTTTCTTTATAGAACTTTATAATTTTATAAATTTTCTTTATAGCAGCTTTTTTTCTTATAGATGTTCGTCTGTTTAGCAATGCTTAAATCTGCTTTTCCTTCTACATGTAAAGAACGATCTATGGAAAAAGAATCCTACACAAATACCGGTAATGTTATTAAACGCTCTACAGCTACCCTGGAAACATTTATAATCTGAAATCCTGAATAACAGCCTTCAAGTCAAAAGCAAGAACTGTATGAAGTTACACTCCCACTGAGCTCCTAAGAAACTCCAGGGTGATTCTGACGCTTGTTACTTTGTGGAACCTTTTAATAACAATTTTTCTCAAAAAAAATTTCAAAACTGTACTCTTGTACACAGCTGTGATTGGTTTTATTCTTCTTTCTCAGGTGAAAAAATGTACTCGGTATCTGTGACTTAAGAGTCCACAGAAACTCCTCCAGCATATCATCAGATATAAACGTTAACAGCATTACTGTTAAAACACAGCAGTTTTTTATATTAGTTTAATTGCATGTCATGAAGCTTGTTTTGGTTACTAAACAGGAACTCTCACAGGTGTTCCTATAGTTCGGGTTTCTCTGCCTTTGAGTGTTTCCGATTTAATTCTACTGGTATAGCCATGCCTCACGCAAGATCCAAGGGATTTTGGGGCAAGGAAATGTGAAAGAGACAAAATCCTTATTCATCTGCTTGTACACGTCTACATATGAAACACCTTTTTGTACGTGGAGGGGTACACAAGAGCAGGATAGAGATCTCCAGTTCAGAGCGAGGCAGCTATTTCATGCCCCATATAAATTCTGGCAACGAGTACTTGGGCTAGGCGGGAAGCAGAGTACAGGTGGCTCAGATGGATGTTGTCGAGATAACTTGATGTAAAACGTATTTGAAAAACCTGAAAGTGTAAAATGAAAGCAGAAGGGCCGAGACCCATTCTGTGTGGCTCATGGGGAGCTTCGTCTTGCCCAAGCTACGACGCTAGCTCAGAGGGTGCAGCACACAGACCAGCAGCTCCCAGCTCCCTTTCTAGCTGTTACCAGCAATAACGGCTTCTGTAAACAGGTGGTTTACGTCATTTTGTCATCTTGCGACGCCCGTGTTCAGTTCAGACCTGAACCGTCATTTTGTCGGGGAGGAAAAAGCCTCTGTAAGGAAAGCAAACAAAAAGCTGCTCGGAAACCAGACGGTGAATTGAAATACACATAAAAGCCGTTTTTTCATCGCTCTCCTGTGGCGCACCACCTTCCTGACTTTGGGGACGGCGGGAAGCGCGGCCCGCGCTTGC